TGTGTAGAGTTACATAATAATTTAGGATTCAAACCTTTAATAAACACCAGCTACTCTTTAGATTTAAGCTCACTATGTAGGTTAACAAAGTCTCTCTTTTTCTTTCAGTTCTACATGTTAAACTCAAGAGCTAAGGACAGTGCATTGCAGTGGGTAAGAGTAGACTGTCAAGGAGTTCCCCCGTCATCTAAGGACAAACTTGGAGTTTGGGTTTATAAAAACAAGTAAGGATTTTGAAAACAACTCTAATTCTCTCGTTGACTGGACATGTCCCCCCCCACCCCTTTTGTCTGTTGCTCTTGTCAATGTCTTGTATCTGGTGTGAACAGAATTGGTGAAGGGAATCACTTTGCATGCTGTGTGTGTGCGTGTGCACACAAGCACAAAACTTTGGGTGTTCTTAAGCATAACTTTATATTTATATAATGCTTGTGTATGAAAAGACATGTGAACATGTTTAAAATCCTAGATTGGTTCCACATATCAATATTTTAAGTGCTCAGCCTTTAACACCTCTGAAAGTAAGGAACACTTCCCTTCTAGACGGGATGATGTCTGCATTGCAAAGTGTTGCCAGGTGGTTATTCATTTTAGTCTAGTCAGGCAGAAGGAAGTGCAGTATGGCATCTTAGTATTTAAGTGGCATGAGCTTTAGTAGGCAACAACCTACTTCACCAGGTGCTACATCTGATGAAGTGGGTTTTTGCTCTTGCCTCTTGGAGGTGTCATCTGAGGTGCACCTCACCTGCTCTTCCTTCTGCCTGACTGCAGACTGGAAAGTGCCTTGCTAAGCCTGGTGTAAGACAGGCACAACGCAGATGCGTTGCCAGACCTAAGAATGGGGTGTCCCCTTCGTCTCAAGGTGCTTGGTGTGCTCCTGGTTCTGCTTCCTAGTTCATTGAATGCCAAATTAAGCAAACTAATTCAGGAGGGTGTTGCAGTGATATGAGTCTGCATTGCTGCCACTGAAATGGTGGGTCTTTGAGCATTATTCCCTCCAGGTAGTCCCCCAAGACTGCTTGTGCTCCTGTGACTGGGGAGCTGTGTGCTAGAAAGACGTTCTTGGCTTCGCAGAGCAGGGATTAGTCTGGCAGCACAGAGCAGTCTGTGAAGGAAGCGGTGGAGTAAATGCTGAGCAAAGTGATACCAGTGCCATTCTGCTCCTGGGGGGGGGGGAAGGGGCAGAGTTGTGAGGAAGGAATGGGGACAGTAGTGATGCCAGGGGAAGAGTGTGTGTGTGTGTGTGTGACCCCCATGATTTGAGTCTGTGCTGCAAAGAGGGGGAGGTGGAGCCCAGATGGCTTCACACCTAGAACCTGAGCAGGGTTTACAAGCTCAGGCTGCAGTTCTTGGGAGGCAGGTTCAGGTTTCGGAGTGTGGCTGATGACGTACAGGCAGTGACGTGAGCCCCAGCACGTAGATTACTTCCTGCCGGAATAAAAGCTTGGGAGCCTGCTGGGTTTCCTTGTATTTTGTTCACTTACTGCTGTTCCCGAGCACTGACTTGTAGTGTGTGAGACTACAGCCCAGTAGTGCCAGCTAATTCGTGTTCAATTTCTGTTAAATAGGCTAATATTTTTTGGAGGTTACGGCTACTTTCCCGAGGAGAAGCAACGGGGAACTTTTGAATTTGATGAAACTTCTTTTTGGGTGAGTACCTGCCCCCCCCCCCCCCCCCC